GCGAGCGCAATTTGATGGACCGCGTCTCCGTTTGCGACTCGTTGCTCAAACGGCACGAAAATGAACCGTTCCTGAAACGCATTGTAACTGGGGACGAAAAATGGATCCTGTACAACAACGCTGAGCGAAAACGATCATGGAGCCTGCCCAGTGAGCCACCACAAACCACCCCAAAAGCGAAAATCCATGTGCGGAAGGTCATGCTGTGCTGCTGGTGGGATTGGAAGGGAATAATCTATTATGAGCTGCTACCGCATAATCAAACGATAACATCGGAAAGGTATTGTAGTCAGCTGGACAATTTGAAGGCAGCGATAGATCAGAAGCGCCCAGAACTGACCAATCGTAAAGGCGTTGTCTTTCACCAGGATAACGCCAGACCACACGTATCTTTGGCCACCCGTCAAAAATTACTGGAGCTTGGGTGGGATGTCTTACCCCATCCCCCATATAGTCCGGATATTGCGCCATCAGACTACCACCTATTTAGGTCTCTGCAAAATTCCTTGAATGGGAAATCATTCGATTCTTTGGAGGACTGCAAAAAGCATCTAGAGGAGTTTTTTAATTCTAAGTCTACAACCTTCTATGAAAGTGGGATAATGAAACTACCAGAAAGATGGCAGACCATTGTGGAGCAGAATGGACAATACATCGTTTGAAAAATGGGTTTGTTCTTTTAGAAATTTTCACACAAAGTCGACCGAGAAATCGGCGGGAACTTTTCGGACGACCCAATATGTATGTATGTATGTATGTATGTATGTATGTATGCATGTACAGTAGAGCCCAAAAGTCCCCGGCCAAATGCTTCTTCAGCTGCACTGTTTAGTCGTAACTCCTTTCCTACTGGATCTAATCATGCGAAATTTCGATATTCATAGCATGTATGTATTGTGAATATTTACCACTATTAACCTACAGTTTGATCTTGTTACAGATATCCCAAAGATCATGAACTCGAAATCAACTGAAAATACGGACTATGGTCCTTCAGCAACTTCTTTCCTTTTTGCACTCAAGTAGTGTGATATAGTGTGAAATATGCCCGGAAAATGAGCAAGAATGAGAATATGGATTAGATGAAGAAATCAAAATTTCGCGCGATTTGCTCCTCTAATTGCTTGTAAGAAAAAAGTTGGCCGAAGACTTTTGAGCACTACTGTATGTACGTTTGTTTGTTTGTGTCGCGAGAACCTGTATTATCTAGAAACACCCTTAGAGGTGAAGACAGGTTCGAAAGAGTCAAGCCCAGGACAAGATCAACAGAGCACATTCCAGCGCAGCGAGCCCCGGTAACTGTGGGCGTGACAAACCTCCAGATAATATATTCTAAAGGCTCCGTGAACTACTTATTCCGGCCTGGACAGGCAATTCCAGTTCTGTTTAAAGAAGGCACCAAATAATGTATTGACAAATAACATTTGTTGCATATTATACTCTGCTCACGAGCGGCGAAAACTGCAGGTGCTGAATTCATCCACCGATGGTAAGGCGCGCCCGAAAAATTTCCTTACGAATTTTGAGCGTCCATATTTGGAAAGGACACTGGCAACAAGAGTGCACTAATGACAGGTTGCAGATTTGGACCCTTGAAAATCCCCTTCTTACAACAGACATGGAATTTTCACGCATGCTAAGATTAACGTTGCCGGTGTGTTGATCGGTGACAACGAAATGCTACATCGTTCTGTTCTGTAATTAACTGGTCAGTCGCAACTCTGGTCTCTACGAACAAGTGTGTTCAGTGTTCTAGCAAAAGTTGAGGAGATGGTACATAGGAAAATGCGCAAACGTATCTGTCTATAATGGTAACAAAGTTGACCTGCCCGCTATGTAGCTGCTACTAATTACTGGTTTTAAAAGGAAAAAGGGAGAGAATAATGGTATCCCTCAGTAAGACGTTTCGACCTTGACATTGAAAGAAAGAGATTCCGGTTTCAGTTTAAGAGATACGTCTTCGTATTTACTACAGTCGAGTAGCAGGGTTCCGTCTACAACCCAGATGAAGGTCGTCATTACCCTTTTGCCCCACATGGAGACAGAGTGCTCTCGATGTATGAAGGTATCATATAGAGTACTGTGCTCTTGAGCAAAGTACTCTATATGGTTACAAGCAAATTGAAAGCAATTGAGCAATTTGAAGTCCACAACGTTCATTGGAATCACTGATACAACTGATCTGGCTTGTCTGCTACGCTTTGAGGATTGTGTTCGCTTTGACTACTTTGGAAAATGAAAATATCATGGCTGTATTGAAAACGTCACTGTCAGATTTTATAAGGATTTCGATCCATTTTGAGCGAGTTACTAATGCTCATTTTATTGCGCCACTTGGTGGTGGGTGCACGGCGACAAGGAATTTCATGAATTTTATTACGAATCTTCGATTAGCTGTGCCCGAAAATTGATCACTTCTCCTTCGATACCCTCAATGGTGCGCCATAAAGCAAACAAATTGACGCGAAAGCGCAATTTCCTCGACATCGCCTCTAGTAGTCATCTCAGTCGCGATCCCTGACTTTTTATCCTGAATTTGTGATGGGCTTGCGGACAGTTATGCATTTCGACTTCAAATTCACCCTTCTCGGCGGACCTCTTTGTCATCATCAAGAGTTCGAAGCACACATTTTGTTATCCCTCATTCACTTTTTTCGAAGTTCTGCTCCTGTCAGCGTCCAGTTTGATGCTGCCCTGCCTCCGTAAGCCTGGTCACGTGGCTCTTCAGATCTCGCTTTATGCCCAGCCCTTATCAAACTCGAAGTGTTGAAAAAGTGTGTGGGTTCCTATTTACGATTTATGAGTGGGAAGTAAATACATGACCCTCCCTGAAAATATGGTTGGTGCGAAAGAGAATATGTGCGTTTCGACGACTTTTGGAATATTATTTGTAGTCGGATCGGCAGGTTCACGCAGGGGATTCCCCCCACGCAGTCACGGTTGACCCCTTATCCCTCTTCCGGAAAAGTGTATATCTGATCACAAATTTTTCGAAGAGAATCTCACTAATTGTGCCGACACTACAGTTTTGTCAAGGAGTCGTATTTTAGCCGCTAACCCTTACTAATGCTCTCGCTTTCAACAATGTATTGAACTACTGAGAATTCAATCCTTCCCGTAATTGGGTCTACTAGCATATCGATTTCGATGAATTGAGCAACCTAGTTGATAAGCTGAAGACTTTAATGATATTCTCCAATGTTGCGAATTGCTGATAACACCACTAGCAGAATTCTCTAATCATAGCCTTCCAATCTTCGACATAAAAAATTTAGGCCGACCAATTAGATTATGCATGGTCGGACACCTTTCATGGCAATTGTCATCGTTATAAATGTGGTACTTAGTCCATCATAAGTTTGCGAAATTTGAAGCGTAGTAGGCGTGATCCAGTAACACGGGAGAAAGCTAGTTTTCCTCTTATATGGTACTGGCCTTAGTCCTTATCTCTGCATTTATTATTTGTTTTTTTTCAGCCTGCTTTATCATGCCTTTTAATTCTACGGGGCATATCAAAAGGCTACAAAGAAACTAAAAGCTCAGACCCTTTTATCATCGCTGATCAAGGTGTCTCAGCTATTATCATTTTCGTTATCGTTACTTGCGATCCATCCCTCTACCACACCTTTAACCAGTAATGCTCCATAGCCATGCGGAAGAAGAACTGATTTAGGAGCTGCTGACGATGTTTATAAGCTGTTATTAGTTTCTGTCAACGACTATCCACAACCCCAACGGATCTACATCACTCTTTAGAGTGTCAAGTTTCCACCGTTAACACGAAGGGCGCTACGTGTCCAGTGGCCTCATGGCTCTTTATCAAACCTTATCACCTGTGATGAGGGTGTTCCAGATATATAGATATGATTTCTGTTTTGCCTGCCACGCGTTTACTGAATATGGTTTCTTGATGCTTCTGTCGTTCTGGTGTTGCTGTCACAGCTTGTTGTGGGCGATACGGCAACGAGTGTAGGAGTCGAGGCGGTGAAGAAGAACAAGACGTATGACGTGTCTTATATACCACAGTTGTTTACATATCCAATCCACTTATAATCATCCTATCACAACCTTTTCTAAGGAATCTCTACAAACAACGGTAATGCTTCGTACACTTGCCATCAATTCCCCACATCACGAGCCAATTTGTCAACTTTCCACAACTGACCTGAGAAGCTCAACGGACCTAGCCCATCACGCTTTCTGAGGCTTCCTATCGGTCACTATCAATTGTTGTCAATCCTTTTCACAGAGCATCCACGATCAAGTTCATCCTGCATTACCCACCGACGTGGCAAGGTTCCATTGTTGACCCAAAGAGTTTATCGACTCGATGGTTCTTGCCTTCTATGGCCACCCATCAGCTCGTATCAGATGTTATCAGTTTCTGTCCCCGAAATTCGTTGCACATTTACACCCCACATCACCCTACCAAAGTGTCAGAATTCCACAATTAACCTGGAAAGCGTGACGAATCCTGTAGCTTTTGCGTTCTGCGGCTCCCTTATCAGTCCCTACCATTTGTTATCTCCCTATCACCCACTATGGCTGCTACCACCCTTCTGCCTGCATCTCCAAACTCAAGGCAAATTTCCTAATTTTTCTGATTCTCTCTGTTACAAGTTTCCGGTCATGTACACCCATTCAAACACACCTAGAAACCATCAGACACACTTAGCGAATTATATAGAGTAGGATGCCTTTTGAGTTGTAGCTTCTAACAATGCTTTCATCTTTCTGGGCAGAGGTGTGCTGCAAATATTATTGTCAGTTCGACAGCAAGGAAAGATCTGTGTGAGCAGTTTTGCTTTAGGATTATAATTCTGCATTCCCCAATATAATTGGTTTGTTCTCCCTCTAGTCTTTATTTGTCATAGAATCTCTTTGGATGTATTTTGTTGAAGTTGGTATCGATGACGTCTCGGTTGACCTATCAGTGGAATGGACACCACCGGCGAGTGCTCGTCAAAGTCGCCGTAATACAATATTCTCCGTATCAGCTTCTAATTTTCGTGAGCTTTCTTGTTTCTCGCGTTCGTGACTTTTTCAAAATGGTCTTATTCTAGGAAACAGTGGTATCGGTATACTGCCACTAACGGTTGCGGCTTTGAGGCAGTATGCCAATGCTCCATTAGACGGAATGGAAGAGGAGCGAAAAGAGAAGGTGAGTGAGAATTCAAGCGAACGCATCATACAATTTCTTCTGCTGCGCCGAACAGGTTTGTTCTAAGTTGACTGTTCATCCGCTCGATTTTTAGAACAAATAGTCGTCAAGGAAATATAAGTAGTTTGAATCTCCTGATCCTTCGCATGTCTGGTCAAGCGGCTAAACGCACCAGGCCATATGCTGAAACTCGGACGCAAAAGATCCCAAACAAGTGATCGACTTTTGCTACTCCAGCAGCTCTGACGACCCACTCGATCGTGAGCAATGGCAAGAGATACCATTAATAGTCGTCGAATATGGATCACGTGGCGATTTGAACGACCACAGATCGGGATGAATGGCATGATGGCAATTCACTCATATCGTTTGGTCACCTTTATACTTCGTGCGCGGATATATTCCGATGTTCTCATCCTTCCCGTCTTATCAGTATATATTTGGTCACAGGGTAAACACCAAAATTGAACCATTGTTTCTCAGTGTGTACAATTTCAATCTTCCCCGAACGGACAAATGACGACGTTATTCGTGGCGAATGCACAATCCCTAAGCGTTTTAGGGATCATTACATGATTGAAGTTGTCCCTTGTTACATTTTTCAAGGCAACGACCTTAACCAACTCCGCGTGTGCAGTGGTGCAGGGGGTTGCCAAATGTTGACGCGGATTTGTCTAATGTCAACTGTAACTGGCTGTAGCTGACTAGTTCTCACGATTCACAGAGGATGCCCTCATGAATCTGATCCACCTCACTGTCGCTAATAACCATCAACATTGATATGTCAGGTGCTAGATTTCGCGGTCCATCACGTTCCACATCGCTTGTAAAAACTTTAATTGCTGTTTTGTAAATGTTCGGCACAACTCTTAAGTGTTGGGTGAGCATAAAACAGAAACTGTAACGTCAGCAATGACGTGTATTCTTATTATGTCCCCCATAAGAGATCCTAAATTGTATTTTTTGAGGGAAGCGAAAGATATTTCTCCTAAACCAAAGTGCCTGCTACGACTCGGTGACTTTCACCGGTGCTGGCCATGTATTTTATGAGTAGTTGTGAGTAGTAGGGTAACAACAGTACATAGCACCTTTCACATACTTGTATGCTATGTAGCAGGCATGTTCGTGGCTTTGCAATCTCATGCAGTGCGCATCCGATTTTCACTGAGGGATTCTCGATGTGCTCATACATAATCAAGGGGATTCAATAGCTTCTTTTTCCAGGAGCACACTGAGCAGGTGTTGGCCTCGCTGCGTAATCGCTCGTTCGAAGACCAAGCGGACGAGTCGTGTGCACGGCACGAGGCAGGCGATCTGACGCGAACTGTATCGCGGCTATTGGCGAGAAATGCCGACTCGGTCAAAATGGCGAATATTGGTCGACCGACGAAGCCGAAAAACATCTTCGAAATGCGACTGCCGCCANTCCAGGAGCACACTGAGCAGGTGTTGGCCTCGCTGCGTAATCGCTCGTTTGAAGACCAAGCGGATGAATCATGTGCACGGCACGAGGCAGGCGATCTGACGCGAACTGTATCGCGACTCTTGGCGAGAAATGCCGACTCGGTCAAAATGGCGAATATTGGTCGACCGACGAAGCCGAAAAACATCTTCGAAATGCGACTGCCGCCAGCTTTCGCTTACTAATAGTAGGATTTGGAAAAGACGGGTTTGCGACAGACTGGTTCAGGTTAGTCAGTGTTATGTTTTTTTCAGATGCGATCATCGATGAACTTTTTAAATAGAGATAACGATGATAATCTCATTGTAGTAGCAATCGAAAGCATATTAAGTCCTCATAGTGGCCCTTTAAAGAAACACAGTTCTCGATAATTTTGGGGTGTCAAGTTTTAGACGATTAATGGAAGTATAAAGGATTAGGATAAAGTTTTTGGCGTTAATCAATCCCGTGTGAGGGAAGCACCCACGCACCCGACTTCCATTCAGAATTGTAGTGGCGTAATGAGTGCGTAGGTGGCCTATACAGTGACTTGCGGTGACCAGCCGATGTACAAGTAAGTGCTTTTATCCTCCCAGACGAGTCTGGTACCAATTCACCGACCCCGGAGGGATGGAAGGCTTGGTTGGCCTAAGCGGGCATCGATCCAGGATTATTAATGGAAGTGATAGGCCAGAATATTGCAAATAAGGCGAAAAACGCAAAGGCGGCGTATTCAGAGTAACATGGTGTTCTAAAGAAAAGCCAGAGTTCAATCAAGAATGAGACGTAAAAAGTTGCATGAAAGGAGTAATCGGGCTCAAGTGCGTGTTTCATTGGTTACAGTTGGCTACAATAAGCTGTCTGCGCCAAAGTACGGGTCCAGGTGTGAGTGGTTCAAAATCTTCAGCCTCTACATCGCCGTGTCCCCATGGTATGTGTACGTCGGCTTAGCCGGTTTTTGGGCCCTTTTTCCCCATATCTAGGCCGTTTTTCGATCCGACAACGCCCCTGTGCTATCTTTGGAGGTCACTGACTCATCCTAGAGAGAAATCTCAGAAACGATTCTTATCGTGAACGGTGCCTTCAAACCACCCATTATTCTAAGCAGCGCATCTATCCTTCCAATCATGTTTCCCACTATTCTTGCAGGAGTGGGAATAGGTTTTCAGTTGACCGACCTCCTTTAGGAGGTTCCAGCTTCATCAACCCATATTTTCTTCGTATCACTGAGACGACACATCAGTCGAAGGAGGTGTGAGGGATTTATGGAACCATGCCAACCGGGCCCTCCATCTCCCGGCAACAGTCAACTGGTATCGGACTCGTGTTGAAGGATAATACCAGTGAAGTGTACACCAACTGACCATCCAAGTCATTTTACTGGTCACGTACGCATTTAAGTTGCCACCGCGATTTTGAATAGGAGTCGATTTTTTCTTGTGGGACTTCTCTTTTTGCCATGCCCAAAATATACGAGCGCTAATACCGAGCACAGTAGAGAAGAATAACGCACATAAGGTGCGAATAATTGCAGACGTCACTAACTTTGCTTGAGCGAACTCTGCTACCGCAAAAGCACCCTGCTCTCAGTTATGTGGATATGGCTGCTTTGCCGTCAAAGAGGGTTGGATGGTGTGAAATATGCTTCAGTTGAACATATCAAAGTTTCGCGCGATTTGCTCCTCTTGGAAAAAAGTTATGGACGAAAAAGCTTGGAAGCGAGTGGCCGAATACTTTTGAGCACTACTGTATATCCTTACCTTACTTTACATAAAGCGCTCGCGTCTGTCTGTCCTTCCGTCTGTTTGTACGGAAATACATAACTCCTGTCCTCGTGGACCTAGTACGTTCAAATTTGGTAGGAGCACAGACAGCAGGATGGGAACACATATGGAGGGTGGCAGGACCAGACTCCGCCCACCGGGGGCGGGGCGTGCGCGATAGAAATTTCAGGTCGCAAATTCATAACTCGTGTTTGCGTGGACTTAAAGCGCTGAAACTTGGTAGGAGCACAGAAGGCAGCACGGGAACGCTTAAGGCAGGACCGGTCTCCGCCTACGTAGTAAGTGGCAGGATCGGACTCCGCCCACAGGGGGCGGGGATGTGCAAAATGGTTGAGCGGGCATTCATAACTCCTGCCCAGTGCACCTAAAGAGTTTAACCGTGGAACCTCGGCATTTTAATAAGTGGTGTAGGATATGACGGGATCGTAGATACTTGGTGACGGGAAGCGATGACCACTGATAAGGGAAGATAAGGGGTCTAAGAAAGCAAGAGCCACCCACCGATCAAAATCCTTATGCCTTCGTTATTTACGATGCAGCTTTGACTGTTCAGTATGTTTCATTCGATAATACGGGATGGTAGATTATGTGACAAAAGTGAGTGATAAATGCAGTAGTAGGGACCCATTAGTGGCACTAGGATAAGCAGATAAGAGTTTTAATCTTTTCTTGCTGTTGGATTACGACCGCTACCCAGCACGGTTTGTGGCTCAGTGTTCAATATCATTTGCGACGAAACCTGACCGACCGCCAGTTCTTTGGAGTTCTCAACTAATGATATTGTAAAGAAAAGGTCCATTGATACCGAGATCCGAAAATGATGTTATCATCACTCAAAACATTTGTGAGTTTTGCCCAAGGCTTTGCTTACATAACAGTTGAATCGTCATGGGGAGCAAAAGAACGAGGCTTCCAATTGAAGGCGTGAAAACACTGGTCTTACACTGAATATCATTTGCACTGCTTTGTTAATCCTGTGTCAAACTTCTTGAACGGGAAAATAGATTTGTTTCGAAGAAGGTGTGGAGAGGTCGATTACTGCAACATTGGTATGTACATTAGCGCTCAAAAGTCTTCGGTGAATTGGTTCTTCAGCCGTACTTTCCAGTCGGAACTCCTTTCCTGCTGGATCTAATCACGCGAAATTTCAATATGTGTAGCACAGGTGTTGTGAATATTTACCACTATTACCTGCAATTTGATCATGTTCTAGATATACTATGGAGCTTGAACTCAAAATCAACTGAAAATACAGATGATGACCCTTCTAGAATCTCTTTCCTTTTTGTCATGTCTAAAGTGTACGAGCGGTAATGCTGAACACATCAGATGAGAAAAACGCACATAAGGTGCGAATAAGTGCAGACGTCAACAACTTTACTTTTAGCAAAATCTGCTACCGCAACAAACGCCTTGCTCTATCTGTGGATGTTGCGGCTTTGCAGTCAAATATTGTTGGGTAGGGTGAAATATGCTCTAGTTGAACATATCCAAATTTCGCGCGATTTGGTCTACTAACAAAAAAGTTATGAAAGAAAGAGCGTTAAAGCATTTCATCGAAGACTTTTCGAGCGCTGCCGTATGTAGTTTCATAAATATAGGGTCACCCTGCATTTTCGTGATTTTAAATTGTTGTGCATGCTGAGAAAATGCTGCTATCACCAGTAGATTGCCCATATCGAGAAACCTTGGTAACGTTTTTCTGAGAAATTTCCTACTCCAAATAACCTAAATAACTTACCCGGGACGAATTTTCTGTGTATCATGAATACGGGTCCACTCTTGAAAAATTCCCGTTTCTCTTCTTCCATAAGGGGAAATCGGTATGCGGGGTCATACAGGAGTTTGTTCATGTAACTGTACCTCGTGCTACTCGTCTCTCTAACGAGGAACAAGTTCAAGTCAGAGCACTGTTTGAAGCCGGATGGTCGAGAAGGAGGATTGCCGCCCATATCGGCCGGTCACGCAACTGCATAAACGAATACCTGCGGATTCCTGATCAGTACAGGAAGAAGAATAGTCCAGGTCGCTGCTTTCTGCCCGAGATGAAAGAGCAATAGGACGTGTGTCGTCAAATTCAACGAAGAGCCTGAACAGGGTCCGCGCTGAAATGCGGCTTCGTGTGAGCAAAATCAGGGCGGAGCGAAAAAATCACCAAAGTTGATGAGGCGGGTCCCACGACTGTCGGAGCAACACAAAGTCGCACGCCTCCAATTCGCCATAAAAAAGCCTCATTTGATCGGTCAAAGGTGCGGCTATTACGACACTTTGCAGTCTTTGAATCCAAATCTTTATTTTACGTTTGAGGTAATCTGGAACGACGAAAAGAAGTTCAATCTAGATGGACCTGACAGTAGAAGATGGTGTTGGAGGGATCTGCACAAAGCACCCTTGGTTTTGGAGCGACTTAATTTCGGTGGAGGATCTCTCATGGTTTGGGGCGCCTTTTGTGCGGCTGGACAGCTTGGACGTGCTTTTGTTTCCTGTCATATGGATTCCGTAGAATACCAGAGGGTGCTGGAGGAGCGACTTTTACCATTTCTTCGACAACGCCGTCGTCGTTCATTGATTTTTATGCACGTTAACGCGGCTGTGCATGTCAGTCGTTCCACTTCGTATTGGATCGCAATTAGAAATATCACAGTTCTCGAAAGGCCTGCATGTTCTCCGGACTTGAATCCAATGGAAAATCTCTGGGCCTTCATTGTCAAGAAGATCTACGACGAAGCAAAGCAGTACAACACAGTCGAAGAGCTCAAACTGTCCATCCTCAACGCTTGGACAAATTTGGATCCCAATTTGATAGCTAGCATGGTTGAGAGCATACCAAGACGCATTGGTGAAGTCTTTGCGAATAATGGAGGACCACCCCATTATTAAGAAGTTTTAACATCCACTCTGTTGTAATAAATTTTTTCTTTAAAGAATGTGTAGTCATACTCATGAAAAGGTGAGAATACCTTTTAGGGAAATTATTTCAACAATTCTAAAGTGAAATTTTTTCACAAAATCTGTTCTAAGGTTTTCCGTTATGAGGAATTATTGGTTATGACAGGATTTTCCAAAAGTGCGCTGCGAGCTTGGAACTGCAAAAATTTAGAGTGGCCCTATATTCATAGAACGCAGTTTATATCAAAGGCGTGAGGAGCTGATCACGTACGAACAGCATCGCGATTAGTGAGGAAAATTTCATTTTTCCTATGTCCGATCTGTTTTCATTTCAGTTACTTCCTCATATTGTGATACTGTCACTGGACGATTGATAGCTGATTTTAAATCTTTTTTTCATTGCTGTTTCTACTGCAAAACCGTGTCTATACTTCACGACTGGTGCACGCTGACAACAACCTATTCTAACTGTATTTTCACTTTTTTGCAATCCTCTCACCTCGAAACATAATCACTCATATTATAGTATAATG